GTCAAAGAATGCAGAATTCTTCAGAGAAGGGTTGCTGTTGGGTGCTGTCAAACGGCTCCGACTCACAGTGACCCTATGCACAACAGAAGGAAGCACCACCGGGTCCTGCCTCATCCTCACAGTTGTTAGGTTTGAGTCCACTGCTACGCCACCATGTCAATCCACCTCTGGGAGGGCTTTCCTCTATTTCACTGCCTCTCTCTTTACCAAGCACGCTATCCTTCTCCAGGAACTGGTCTCCCCTGACAACATGTCCAAAGTGCATGAATCTCAGAGAAGAGTTAGAGAAAAGGAAATACTGCCTTCTGAAGTGTATAGACCTAGAAAGAGGGGAAGTTGAGAAACAAATAACTTCACAGTTTGTTATTTTTACTTACTAATCATTTCTATGATTTTCATAGTAATATTTTACTTACCTTTGTATAATAAAGTATTAGTGGCCATATATAAAATCTTTAAACAATTGTTTAGAAAAAGATGATGTACCAACAGAAAACGAGAAAAGACAATAAACACAGTCAGGGTGCGATGTAACAATGACGAGAAATACAACTTTCCTCTAGTTCCTAAATGTTTCCTCCCCGCTCCCACTACCATGACTCGAATTTGATCTTGCAAGTCTGGCTAGACCAGAGGATGTACACTGGTACAGATAGGAACTGAAAATACAGGGAATCCAGGACGGATGAGCCCTATAGGACCAGTGGTGTGAGTGGCAAAACAGGGAGGGTAAAGGGAGAATGGGTAGGAAAGAGGGAACCGATTACATGGAACTGTGTGTGACCTCCTCCCTGGGGGACAGACAACCAAAAAGTGGATGAAGGGAGACGTCGGACAGGGCAAGATATGACAAAATACCCATTTATAAACTATCAAGGGCTCATGCGGGAGGGGGGAGCGGGGAGGGAGGGGAAAAATGAGGACCTAATGTCGGGGGTTTAAATGGAGAGAAAATGTTTTGAGAAACGATGTACAAATGCGCTTTACACAATTGATGTGTGTATGGATTGGGATAACAGTTGTATGAGCCCCTAATAAAATGTTAAAAAAGAAAAAAAGACAATAAACCTATTAGGAGAATAGGTACAAATGAACAATATAAATTAATGTCCAGCTTATGTCGAGAGAGAGACATGAGGTTACAGAGGTTCACTGTGTCAAGAAGGCTGGTATGTGCATGAAAACAGGGACTATACAAGGCAGTGTACCAAGAGGGAAACAAGCACTGAGGGAAATAAGACTGGGACGTATGCCCTGACTGGTACGGAGGGAATCTGGAAGCCTAGTATTCCACGGCACTGCCACTCTGATAGTTGGAGATGTAGTCTGAGTACATTTTCCTGCGGTAGTCTATCATTTTCCAGATTCTCCCGTAAAAGCTCTGCTGCCTTAAAGTGAGCACATGATTGAGTCTATCTCCCTATAGAAGCAGACATTACTCTTACTATTTGCTCTATTTCTTCTCACCACGGCATCTAATCCCTCTCATACCTTCCTCCAATAGTGGATGGGTATAGGGGGACTTTATCCCCCATGCCTGGATTCAAAATGCTTGCCTTAAGCCTGAGTTTTGGCTTGGCTATATTAATTTGGTCATTAAATTTGCCTTGACAGCTTTCAATGTATAGAAAATCACGTGTAGCCACTGTAGCTCTTTTGGTTTTTATACATAAAACAAAAGAGGGAATTGCGGGAAACAAGGAAGATTTCTCCCAAGTTGTCTCCCCCAAATGTGTCCCAAACTTAGCTGCTTGCTACACATGGCAAATGACTATACACTTGGAGGTCAACAGAAGTAGGTCAGAGGTTATTCTCCCTAAGGGTTATCAGCCATCCAGAGCAAGCAAACACCACTGTTTATCCCACAAGTAGGGCCCACTGCCTTTTGATAAGGGTAGTAGTAAATTGTTTCCCTGAAGGAGAGCCCAGGGAGGTCAAGCCCACTCAAGGGTGACCAAGGTTAGGCCACCATCATGAATCTACGGTGCGCCCTTCTTGTCACATGTATACCTCTAGCTCCACCCTTTTCTATCATGTGTACACAACCTAGCTCATCCCCTTCCTGTTACACTTATACCCGTGGTATATCCCCCTCCTATTGCTTGTATTACCTTTGTACAGCCCCTTCCTGTGACATGTGACCTGTAATCACGCCCTCTATGTAGAGATAAGCCTTGGCTAGCAATAAAGCTGGGTCCCGCTCTCTCCAGGCCACCTTGCCTCTCTCTCCGACCCTTGACCCATGCTGTGCATGGACCTGGCTGGTTAGATCATGGCCATCCAGGAGGTAAGCATGCTACCATGAAATGTGTCTGACTTCTTTATTTTGCTCTCTGTCATTCTCCATGACTTTATTATAATCCTTATATATCTTAACTGTACAACTGTGCCTCCTATCGAACCCGTTTAGTTGCGGGGAGAGGGGTGGGGGACTGGCCTTGCCCCACATACCAGAGTCCTAGTTTTGTACATAAGAACCTGAGCCTTTGTAGAAATGAAAGAAGTCTGTCCAAGCTCACACTGTCACAATAAGTAAGGAAGTCTGGACTGAACACAGCACCATCCTCAGTCCCAAATGAATGCTCTTGGTCACCAAGTATCCTACACTTCCCAAAAATACCTTAGAAGAATACAAGTCTTTATCCACTATTCCTTTCCTAAGCGTTTATCCTAAAAATACACCGTGCAAAAAAACATGTATATTGCCTCTATGCAAAATATCCAAAATAGGAGATTTTAAAATAAATGATGTCATGCCAAGAACAAAGAGAACATGATGAAGACTCACATCGCTGTTAACTGGAAAATACAAGCTACAAAGTAGTGCATAAAAAAATGGTCTTGAAAAGAATGGAGGCAACATACGTACAAACATGGCTGATTCAATCGATGGATGGATTGTGATGAGTTGTACGAGCCCCCAATAAAATGATTTTTCAAAAAGATCTTAATCTTATTATATATATAACTAATAGAATTTTTTTAAAAGGCACAAAAACAGCAAGAATAGTAGTATTGCCTCTATCCATGTATAACTATTGATTTTGATTTAAAATTCTGTTTTCTATTTCTCAAATTTTCTGAAATAAGAATAATTGCTTTCTTAATCAGAAAACCTTTGGCCAAAATATTTTTAGAAAATTCCCCTGGAAAGGATTCAAGAGGAAAGACTTTAACACTGGAAAGGAGATTTCAGGTATGTCTTTTCTCTTCTTAATGACAGGTTAAAGGGTAATTTCTTTTTTACCCAGCTTATTCCTCAATACCCCCCACCCCATATATTTGCCAGTTTTTTTTCCTAGTCTATGGGTTTTCTTTCTACTTTTTTGATGAAATCTTTTGATGCATCAAGTTTCTAATCTTTAGGATGCCCAGTCATGTAGGGTTCTGTGTTCTCAGTCTTGACAGTGTATTTATGACATGTATTAGAGGCCCTCAATTTGTCCCTAGTTTTTCTTTAATGATCTTTATAATTTTAGGTTTCACATTTAGGCCCTTGCTCTGTCTTCATTCATTTTCATATACAGTGTGAGATACGGGCCCTGCTTCGTTTGCTAAAGAAAGATACCATCCCATTTAATAAGTTTCAGTCCTTTGTCAAACCTCACCTTTCCAGAGGATGGACTGACTTCTGGGTTCTCAATCCTGCTCCACTGGTCTAGGTGTCTGTCACTGTACCAGAACCAGATTGCTGCTCCGCTGTGGCTGGGGAGCAGAGATTTTCACGTGGGGAAACATGAGGCCTTCTACTTAATTCTTCCTCTCTAGTAGTGCTCTGCTTATCCAAGGGCCCTCATTGTCCAGTGAGCTACACATTGAGCTGCTCACTGCAAGGTCATCAGTCCAAAGCTACCAGGAGAAAGATGAGGCTGCCTGCTCACATAAAGATTTAAAAGCCTTGGAAACTCGAAGGTACAGTTTAATTCTGTCCTGTAAGATTATAACTATGAGACAGCATCAATTTGAAGGCAATGCATTTGGTTTGGGGGTTGCTTATCCGGAATCTCTTTCCTTTCCATATAAAGTTGATGAATAGCTTCTCAGTCTCTTTAAAGAATGATCATGGAAGGAGTACAGTATCTCTGTAGGTCACTGTAGTATTAACATTTTCACAATGTTAAGTCTCCGCAGCATGAGCATGCTATGGCCTTCCATTTACAGGAGGACTTGAAAATGTTCAAGGAAAGTTTTAATTAAAAGAAAATGACCGGGAATGCACAATTCATATTTAAGGCGATTTAATCATGGTAGTGGCAGGGGATGCTCTAAGCTAGATGTGGTGGTGACTGTACAATTCCCCTTGATATGATTGAATGATCAATTTACTCTATTGCATGATATGTAAATTATGTGCCAAACAAACTATTGGAGAAAAAAAAAAGACGCATTATTGAACACAGGCCTCTTGGTCTCTCAGAGTAGTGTTTTGTAACTTTTTTGTATACGCCTTTAAAATTTTTCTGATTATATTTATTCCTAACTATTTTATCTTTTGTGTGGCTACCTAGAGGGTAGACATGTAACCTGGGTGAAGGGACGGCAGTGGACAATCAGGGAGATCAGCAAAAAAGATGAAGGCAAAGACAGACACTGTGCGGAGTACGCGGGTTTAAAGTGTCAGTGGTAAACACCATCACACACACCATCCTGCAGTCAAGGCCATAATTATACTCTGTGGGTGGAAACATGCAAGTCCAGCAATTGTGGGAAGGAGGATGGAACCATATCCAGGAACAGATACATACAGAGACTGAACAAGAGGGCATTTCTACACATGTATTTCCTGTGCTGTAAATCTCTCGAATATAGATGACGATGAAGCAGTTATAGAACTTCCTTACTCATAACCAAACTCCTTGGGGGAATGAGTCAACGGGCCTGGGAGCTCAGGGCCATTGTCTTGGGAAGCACCAAGGTTGAAAACAAAAAGAAATGCATGTACATATAGATTAATCTACTTTTCTGAATATTGTTGACATGTACATGGATGCCGTACTTACTTGCTCATTGGCTTCAGAGAATAGTACTTCCGCCTCGTCCAAAATCAGGTGACAGAGTCTAAGGAACAGCAAACTTTGATACGTATAGAGTCTTAAGAGGCTATGTGGTGTGGTAACAATCACATCACCTACATTGTAAAGGAGAAGACAGTTCACATTGTAGACTTCCCAAAGGGTTTCATCACATTCCCTCTGCTGGGATCCCACACTCTGGGAAGGCTCTCTGGTTAAACAAGCAAAGAGAGGTTTTTCTCTTTTTGTAAAGAGGCTTTTCTTTACTCAAGCACGTGAGGTCCTGCCTAGCCAGGTAATGATCAAATTAGATTAGCGTTGCACCAAGTGGGCGACCCTGTAGGCAGAGGGGCTTCCGTCGGTGCTCACGAAATAATCCCTTGATTGAAGCTTTCTCAGCGAGAGACAGAGTCTTCTGAATCTATGACCACCCAAAGGGAAACACCAGCTGCTCCCCATCCATTTTATTAGGAGTGACAATAATCCAGAGCCCCTGACCAGCGAGGCCTGGCTGGGCCAACGGCCACTAGCTGCACCATACAAGCCCAGTGTCATCGGTGGCTCCCACGCCCACTGGGATGGACGCTTACACCCTCTTGGAAGCTTCATGTTTTTGGCTTCATCTTTGTGAAGTCCAACTGTTAACAGCACAGGATGAAGGGGCCTGGAGGACATGCTGTAGTCTCCCAAGACTTCAAAAATAAACTGGGCCTTTTTCCACCCTGGGCACACGATGACTGCCAGAGGCTGCAAAGACAAAGACAAAGAGAATGTGGCTAGGTCCCCGGAACTTATTTCTCGGAAGAGCCTACAAAACATCAGGGACAAACATCCTTTGGGACAAACCTATACAGCATTCACAGCAGCTCCTTGCACAGAGCAGGAACTCAGGAAGAGTTTGTGGTCATCACCGTGCAGGTCAGAAGAGTTAGAACATTGTTTCATTAAAGTAGGTTTAACAGATAATGGAATACTATTCAGCTATACAGAGAAATGACGTTCTGATACATATGACCAAGGAGAACAATATGTCGAGTTGTCGAAGGGACAAACTCTACATGATCCCACTTACCTGAAAGATCTGGAACAGGCAAATGCAGAGAGACCACAGTGTCCAGTGGCTACCAGAGGGGGGTGGTGGGGGAAGATTTGGAAACAGAGCGGTGATGACTGCCTAACACTGTGCACGGCATCAGTGGCACCAGGGAGAAGAAAGGAGAGAGTAGCTCGGAAACCAAATGGAGCAGCCTCACCAAATGCCAGACCTAAGATTTTTAAATAAATAGTCTTTGCGGTGAAACAAAAATGGTTTTGAACTTACTCCATGTCTACTTGGCAATGATTTATAGCAGACTTCTGTTTGCAAAATCGTCAGCACTGGGGGGAGGTACAACAGAGGGTCATTTCCACTGTGAGAGATGACCACCACATCACAGCCACGAGCTATGGGAGGCCAAGAGTAAGACTCGGTGTGGCTGGGTCCTGGGTACTTATTTTTCTGAAGAGCCTACAAGACACCAAGAACAGCCCAAACAAGCCACAATGAAGCACAGAACACAAGCAACACAGCAGCCCACCCTTCACTCGGCTCACTGGACAGCGCTCCAGCAGCACCTGCCAGACTGGGAAGTCACCCCGATCTTGTCTCTGCACCAAGCACCTGCCACCAGATACCCACTCAGTTCACTGGGGTCCGATTTAAAAGGGTCCAATAACTAGCCCATTAATCAGATGCTTATCAGGGAGAAAGGGTATGGCCATTTCTCCTATCTCCTACCATCTGCCAGTGCATCAGCACCACCGGAAAAGTTTGTTGTTGTTTTTAACATACTGGTTGCTCATTTTAACAAAGTTCTCTAACCATACCAATAGCACTTTACGGTGGGCTGAACAGATCAGCACCACCATTATCTCCACGAAGACCCCTCACCAGACTCCGCATCGGGCTCTTACTCTCCGTGCTTGGCATTTATCCGTCCCTCTCTTCCTCAGTAGCTTCCTGACCAAGTGCGAAAGGCACTGAAACTGACTTGAGACTCTGCATAGCTACAGCCTACCCTCTGCTTCCCTGAGACGTGAGGACGAACTTGTAGGCTGGAAGCGATTTTCACCAAAATACTGAGGTTACTACTATTCTAGTGTTACTGTGGTTGGGGCGGGGCGGGGGTTTGAGGAGAGGGCACCGATGTGACTCTGGCTCACATGTGAGCTGATCCTGTGTGTGAGACCAGATACTTCTCTGGAAGCTTTCATGAGCTCTGAATCCTCCAAATTTAAGTTCTTCACCAGAATGGGCCAAATATCTTTCTTCATCACTTGTGCCAGGCTGTGATTGTGGCTGTTAGGTGTTGTCGAGGTCTATTCCAACTCTAACGCAACAGAACGTAATAGGACCAGGCCCTGTGCCATCCTTACAACGGCTCTCATGTTTGAGCCCATTAGTGACGCCACGGTGTCCATCCCTCTTGTTAAGGGCCTTCCTCGTGTTCGCTGGCCTCTTCAGACAGGATGTCGTCTCCAGGGGCTGGTCTCTCCTGACAACCGTCTTTGCTTCTATGAAGCATTCTTTCTTCCAAATCAGAATGTTGGTTCTTTTGGCAGTCCATGGTACTTTCTATACCCTTCACCAGCACTATTCAAATGCACCCATTCTTCAGTCTTCTTGATTCAAACTTTCACATACCCTGGACCAGGTCAGGCACACCTTAATCCTCAAAGTAACATCCCTGCTTTTCAACACTTTAAAGAGGGTTTGTGCAGCAGATGTATTCCTCAATGCAATGCATCTTTTGATCTCTGGACTACTGCTTCCATGAGCATACATGACAAAATCCTTGGCAACTTCAATCTTTTCTCCATTTTTTCAAAGGTATTCACTTAAATATTTTTATGAAACAGTCTTATGTTCATAGTACTCTACATTATACTTATAACAGTTGTCAAATTTCAATTCCATTCTTGGAAACATTTTTCATGCTCATCTGTTCAGATCACTGACAGCACTTCCCTCATTTTTCCCCCACCTCTTCTATATCATCAAATCGCTGTCTTCTTTCATTTTAAGATCATTTTATTGAGAGCTCTTACAGCTCTTATAACAATCCATACATCAATTGTATTAAATATATTTGTACATATGTTGCCAGCATAATTTTGTAAACATTTATATTTTATATGAGCCCTTGGTATCAGCTCCTCTTTTTTCTCCTCCCCCTTGTGGTCCCTTGATAAATTATACCCCCCCTCACCCTTGTGATCCCTTGATAAATTATAAACTATTATTATTTTATAATCTTATATTGAAAATACTGTCCTTTCATGTCCCTCTTCATTTTTTTTTTTTAAAAAAGGGAAGTCACACAGAGTCACACAGGTCAGGTGACTAGATGGGTGGAGCAAAAGACATGCTGTATTTTGTCAAAGACTGGTGCACTGAGATGGCTGAGTAAGCAGGCGCATTGTCATGGTGACAAAAGCAGTGGATCTGCCACAAATCGGGCCTTTTTTGTCACACTGTTACTCTATGTTTTCAGAATCTCTAAAACAAATGAATATCATCTGGATCTCTGACTTCACTTGGTGAGTTTTTGTGGGTGAAATGACAATGGCATCTTCCACTGGCTTAATTGATGTTTGCTTTCAGGGTGGTAAGAATAGCATCATGTCTAGTCTGTCACCAGTAATGACCTTGGAAAAAAGTCTGGGTTGCTCTGAAGCTGTTCTTTCAAGGCATAGCATGATTCCACTTGATGATCTTTTTGCTGGTCAGTCAGAAATCAAGGCACAAATTTCGCATCATCCCTTCTCATGCCCAAATCTTCCATCTCAATTCACTGAACTGGGCTTCAAGACAGGCCAGATAACTGCCCATCTCAGTCTTTTCTCCATTTATGATGCTGTTACCTATTTGTCCAGTTGTAAGGATTCTGGTCTTCTTTATATTGACTTGTAATCCATAGGACAGCTGCAATTCTTGATCTTCATCAAGAGTGTGGTAATTATATACTCTGCTGTCAGCTTGAGACGATTATGGGTGAAGGGGTGGAGTCTTGCCTGTCAATCAGGTTGCAGCTTGATAACCTCATTTGGAGGCACTAAGGAAATAAACAGCTCGCTGGAGGTGGAACACGCACACTCTCCCTTCCTGTTAACAAGCCACATGGAGCTATGCTGATGGAGCCAGAGCCCTGAAACTGGAGGAGCCATGTGGAGACCCATGCCAGTGCTAAGATGCTTCCACCGCCACTGGATCCACTAGACTTTCCACTCACTGGCCTGTAATCTTCCTGCACTTGGCATCACTGCATGTGTTGCATGAGTCTGAAGAAGAATTTACAGACAGGTACTGGCATATGAGCTAACATTGGACTTATGGACTTGATCTGGACTGGGCTATATTTCCTTAATGTACGATTACTCTTCATATAAAGCTCTTTCCTATGCATCTATGAGTGCCTATGACTTTGTTTCTCTAGGTCTACCCAGACTAACACAAAGAGCTTCAAGTCCTCCTCACTTTCAGTAAACAAGTTTGTGGCATCTGCATATTGCAGAGGGTTAATAAGTCTTCCTCCAATCTTGATGCCACAGTCTTGATGGAAGCCACCCACACTGATGATCTGCACAGCCTAATGATTGAACAAGGATGCGAGAGCATACCACCCTGCTGCACACCTCTCCTGATTTTAAACCATGCAGTGTTCCCTTGTTATCACAAGTGCTTCCTGATCCATGCACAGGATCTGCATGAGCACAGTACAATGTTCTGGAATTCCTAGTCTTCTCAAGGCTATCTATCGTTTGCTATGAGTCACACAGGCGAAGGCCTTCATCTAGTCAATAAGACACAAGTAAACATCTTTCTGGAATTCTCACTTTCAACCCAGATCCAGCTGACATCAGCCATGACATCCCTTGTTCCCAGTCCTCTTCTGAATCCAGCCTGAACCTCTGACCAGCTTCCTGAAACTGCTATTGCATGAACTTCAGCAACATTTTACTTGCATATGATATCAATGATATTGTTCTATAATTCAAGCATTCTAATGGGTTGTCTTTTTTGGAATAGGTGCAAACATGGATCTCTTCCAATCAGTTGGCCATGTAGCTGTCTTCCAAATTTCCTGGTATAGACGAGTGAGTGTTTCCAGTGCTTCACCAGCTTGTGCAAACACTTCAATTGGTATTCTATCAATTCCCAGAGCCTTCTGTTTGACTAAGGCTTTCTTTCAGTGCAACTTGAACAATCTTTCTTTATTTAGCACTACTGGTTCTTGCTCATAGGCTGCCTCCTGAAATGGAGTGTTTCTTAGTTCTTTTTGGTACAATGAGTGACTCTATGTGTTCAATCCATCTTCTTCCCCTCCTGTTTTCTTTTCTTTCTTTCTTTCTTTAACCATTCTTTCAATGTTCCCTGTATCTTCAATATTTTCTCTATAGAATCTTGTACCGTTGCAGCTCAAGGCTTGACTTTTCCGTTCAGTTGATGACGTGCTGAACGTGTTCTTCCTGTGTGGTTTTCTAACTCTAGGTCTTTGCACGTGTCCCTGTACTATTTGTCTTCTAGAGCTGCCCTTTGAAACGTTCTGGTCAGTTCTTTGACGTCTCCTTTCTTCTGTTTGCTTTAGCTATCCTACGATTTAAAGAAAGTCTCAGGTTCTCTTCTGACATCAGCTTCGATCTTTTCTTGCTCTCCTTTTGAATGACCTTTTCTTTCTTCATGAATGAGGTTCTTATGTCCTCTCACAGCTCATCACGTCTTCTGTCGTTAGTGATCAATGTATTGAATATGCTCTTGAAATTCAGGTGCGAGGTATACTATGCTCAAAGTCATATTTTGGCCCTCAAGGACTTGTTTGATGATCTCCAACTTTAACCTGGACTTACATGTGAGCAATTAAGTAATTAATGGTCTGTTCCACAGTCAGCCCCTGGTCTGGTTTTAGCTTCTGACACTGAACTCCTCCAGCATCTCTTCCACAGATATATTCAATTTGAGTTCGGTATACTCCATCTAGATTAGTCCAAATGTATGTATAGTCAATGTTTGTTGTTGAAAATAAAGGTACTTGCTATGAACATGTCATTGGTCTTGCAAATTTCTATCATGTGATCTCCAGCTTCACTTCTATCACTGAGTCCTTATCTCTAACTACTGTTCCTTCCTCTTTGTTTCCAATTTTTGCATTCCAGCCACCAATAATTATCAATAAATCATGATTGTGCATTTGATCAATTTTAGACATTGGTAGAATTCTTAACTTCTACATCACTAACTTTTGTGGTTGGTGCTTAAATTTGAGTAATAGTTGAATTGACTGGATTTCCTTGAAGGGGAATAAACATAAGCCTATCACTGATGACAGCATTGTATTTTATGATTTATTTTTTTATGATTGATTTTGCAGTATCCTTTTTGACAATGAATACAATGCTATCTCACTTAATTCCTCAGCATAGTAAATCATATGATTTTCCGATTCAAATGGCCACTGCCAGTGCATTTCAGCTCACTCAGGCCTAGGATATAAATCTTTGTTTTCGAGTTTATTTTTGACCACTTCCACTTTTCCTAGATTCATACTTTACACATTCCATGTTCCAAACATTAGAAAATTTTTGTAGCTGTTTCTCCTTACCTTGAGTTGTGCCCCAACAGCAAATGAAAGTCCCAAAGGTTCCACTGCCACAAACTTTACTCCATTTCCATCACCATGGTCACCTCTACTCCTCAATCACATTTCCAGTGCCCTCTGACTCCAGGGGCTCATCTTCCAGCACTATCTCTTAACCATGCTCTGTTTCTATTCATTAGGCCTTCAGTATCTGACAATGCTCCAAAGCTATACATAAGGTTTTCAGCAGCTCCTTCCTCTGAAGTGGGAGCCAATTCCTTCTTAGTTTTCTGTTCTTGGTGTCAAAGCTCCGCTGAAATCTGTTCTCTTTGGGCTATCCTGCTGGCATTTGAAATACCAATGACCTACCTTCCAGCATCACACAAGACACCACAGTGCAACAATGTGACAGACAAGTGCTAGCTTGGGGCATAGGATCGTGCAAATAATGTGGCTGGAACCCTTGTATATCCTGATCAGCTTTGCCATTCCACTAGGTTTAAAAAGAGACAACCAATCCCTGAGAGTGAGAGGTGGCCTCACTACCATTAAGAGCCAGGACTGGAGCTCAGCTTTTGGACGTGGTATCCTTGCACTGAGAGCCTCCTAGGCAGAGGAGACAGAGAGCTGTAACACTGGAGAAGGCGCAAGAAGGCTTCGAGAAGCAGCAGCAATCTCGGCAGGGAAAGGGCAGCAGCAGAACCAGGAGGCCAGGAAGGGAATAGTGGGCTTCCTGACCCTCCAAGCACAGGGGCTACAGTGGGTGTACCCAACCCCAGGAGCACGAGAACAGGCTGCCTGCAAGCAGGAAGCCTGCTGGTGCAGTACGGTGCCTCTGGGGGCACTTGCTGGCAAAGCTGAAGCATTCATAACACTCACTTGAACATAGCAGGGGCCAGACCTGAGCAAGGGTCTTGGCCAAGAGTGCAGGGGCCATGCTGAGGATAGGACCTGGTGGCAGCAGCCAGGAAAATCCTGACCAGAGAACGTATGCTAAGTTGTTTCTGTTATTTTCATGGTCATCTTTACTCTGACTTGCCATCTCTACCTTTAAGTATGGTTTGTGCCTTCAGTGTGGCCAATGAACCAACTGCCAAATCCAGGAGAGAGGCAGAGTGCCGTGGAGAGGGCAGCTGGTGCTGGAGTTGGTACAAAAAAAAGGGTGGAGAGCAGGGCTATGTTTGACCTCCATAGGAGAGATACTGATGCTGATTTTTTAAAAATCTTTTCAACTTTAAAAAAAAATCATTTTACTGGGGGCTCGTACAATTCTTATCACAATCCATACATACATCCATTGTGTCAAGCACATTTATACATTTGTTGCCATCATCATTCTCAAAACATTTTCTTTCTACTTCAGCCCTTGGTATCAGCTCCTCATTTTCCCCCCTAATGATGCTGATTCTAAGACAAGGCTGTCTGGTGCCCTGCCATTTTCAGTTCGCTTAGTCCTGGGTGTTTGGGGTTTGTTTTCTTTGCAGATTAGAAGCTCTACGGGTGGGCGGTTTCTCCCCATGGACACCACATTACTACAGGCAGACTGTGCAGCAGGCAGGCATTTTTCCTGGGAGAATTGTAGAGGACAGCATCTCCAAGTCATTCCCAGAGGGCCCTTCAGTTCAAGAACCTCCGGCCGACCCCATTCTCCCCTATGAAGCTAGCCACACTCTCCAGTCTGCTTTCTGCCTTCTAGAAACCTAAAGAAAACTTTTGTTCACTAAAGACTTCTGATTCTACTAATTGCTGTGTTTTTTTTTAAGTATTCCTCTAGTTTTTTAAAAAAAAATTATTTCTAATTCATGTACCATATAATTCAGTGGTTTAAATCTTATCCCTTCACTTTTATTTATTTATTTGTAGACAAACATGTTTGATCAATGTACAGCAGGCACCATCAGGGCTATAAAGCAATTTTTGAGAGAATGTCAAGAGGTGTATTACAGGTCTCCTGAGCCATTTGCTGCCCTTTTAAGACCCCTTCCACAGGGGCCCATTTGAAAACTTATTTCAGAAGACCATGTACAGTTACACACTGGCTTCTCCACGAAAGACCTGTTCAGTTATAAGAAGATATCCTGGAATTGATAAATGCGACATTAATAGCAAATGCAAAGAAATCATACAAAAGCAACCATTTAACTGTAAGCTCAATTAAAAGAAAAGGTCCTCGCATGTTAGAACAAGTCCGGGTTACTTTGGGGTCTGGTTTCAAGCGCATGTGTACCTTCTTCAGGCCAGCTGAAAGGGGCGCCGTCTCCATGGTGAGGCAGGGCTCGATCTTGTTCCGGAGCACCACCAAGGGCTGCTGCATCCCTGACTTCAGCTTCTGCAACTGCCCGGAGAACTGCATTAGACAACTCAAAATGCCCGGACTTTACAGAAACGGACGAAATACAAAAGCTTGAGATCAATGTAAGACTCTGGGTATACATGCTTATCAAAACAGGGCCTAACAGAAAGCCAATCCAAACCAAATTTACTGCCGTAAGTCCATGCCAACTCACAGCGATCCTAGAGGACAGGGTAGAACTGTCCCTGTGGCTTCCTGAGGCTGTAAATCTTGAGGAGTAGAATGCTTCACCTTTCTCCTGCTAAGTAGCTGGTGGTTTTGAACCGCTGACTTTGTGTTTAGCAGCCCAATAAGTAAACATTACCAGGGCTTCTTAAGGAATAAAAGAAATAAAAGAGGAGCAATTCCTCTTAAGCAATAGTTCACCAGGTATTTCCTATAAGGACAGTCCCCCATCTAAAGGGGTACTTCTAGTCTGGAAGGAGGAAGGGGGATATTTAAATAGTTCCCAGTCCCTCCCACCCTTCCTTTTTCTGAGGGTCTGTAATACCTGCTGTAGATCAGAGATTCCACCAGCTCTCAAAGGATCGGGGTTTAAAAACTGCAATAATCTGTAAGAGTTAAGAGAACAACCTGAAGGGTAACAGGTGTTTGCTTCATCAATCTACCCATTATGCTCCTTCTTCCCCGACAGTGACAAAGCAGTCTCTAACCCAATCTGAGCTGTAAACTTGCCCTTGGTTTGCTTTGTAAAATAAGAGGGCCTTAGAGGGAAAGGGACACAGGGCATGGTGCTCATGCACTCCAGCCCTGGGCTCCACTCAGGTCCTTATGCAGGACATCTTTAGAAAGTGCTCCACCCCCCGCCCATTATCCCATTTCATTACCCCCCCCCCCCATTTGCCAGGATTAGGAGCCCTGGTCTACTCTGTTTAACAGATGATAATGTAGGAGATCAGACAGGGACTGACCACTGTCGAAGTCTTTGTTAAATGACAGTAAAAGAACACTTGGAAGTGCCCTCTACACCCAATTCAACCTCCACATGGGTCAGGGCCAGTGACAGCAGGAAGCTCAAAAACAAAGGGGGACAGGGACTTCTGGCTAAAGATGGAAAGTTATGTTTAATACACATCAAATTGCACTCTTTCCCAGAACTCCAACCCTACAAATGGGGTTTTTAATGGGAAATCCACAAGGATCAAATGCCCAAGAGATGAACCGCTAAACAAAATGTGTTACAGCCCATCCAATGGAATATTATTCAGCCATAAGAAGGAACAAAGTACTCATGTATACCACAAAATAGAGGAACCATGAAAGCATGTTAAGTGCAAGAGGTCAGGCACAAAGAACATGTGGTGTGCCTAATTCCATTGATAAGAAATAGCGAGATTAAGCAAGTCCACAGAAGCAAAAAGTAGACAGTGGTTGCCAAGGGTTTGGGAGAAGAGAGGATGGGGATTGGCTGTTAATAGTATTGGTTCTTTTTTGAAGTGATGACATGTTTTTTTAATTAAATACTGGACTAACTCTGGGTACAGTGAAAATATATCACTACTGAATTTTATACTCTAAAAGGGTAAAATGTCATGCTATGTACATTTCTCTCTCAAAATAAGTTTTTTTCCTTGCCTCTAAGGAACATTCTGGCTGCACTTCTTCCAAGATAGGTTTGCATGTTCTTTTGGCAATCTATGGTACTTTCAGTATTCTTCTCTAGAACCATAATTCATATATATATAATTCTTCAGCCTTCCTTATTCACTGTCCAACTTTCATAGGCATATGAGGTAATTAAAATCACAGATTGGATCACAAAATAATGAGTATCACCTATGAGTATCATGTGCCTTTAAAAAAATCATCTATATTGGCACTCAGCTATCAGAAAGAATAGTGCCTGGGTCTTAAAGGTTTGTCTTAAAACAAGCAACTATCTAAGTAAGATGTCAGCAAAGTACACACGGAAGGAGCACACCAGCCTGTGAGATCCAAGGATTATAAATATAAAATCCAAGCTCAGAAAAAGGAATTGTATTAGAGCTTAAATTCTAAGCATCCAGTTTGCAGAAGGCTATGGATGACAGTGAAATTCATTTGCAGAATCCTCACATGGATGAAGCCTCTGGTGAACTGCTATTGGAGTGTACTGGAAAGTGCTTCCACCACCACTGGATGCACAAGACCTGTGATCTTCCTGCTTTCAGCATCATTGTTTGTGCTACATGAGTATAAAGAGGTATTTATGAACTAGTATCGGACATATAAGCTAATACTGGACTCAAGGATTTGATTGGGACAGGGCTGGGATGTTTTCTCAATATACAATTGCTCTTTGATATAAAGCTCTCTCTTACATGTATGAGTGTCCCTGGATTTGTTTCTCTAGTCAACCCAGTCTAACATATCCTCTTTCTGAATTCATTGAAAAAGGGGGGTTGTAAATGAATTATAGTGCAGAGCACAAATCTAAAGTCAAAGAAACTGAAAAAGGTCAAGAAAAGAACAACTTACTCATTGTGACCAGTTGAGCAAACGCACCAGTGTGAACAGACCAGAAAAGGAAGCAATGGGCTTCAGAAACAGAGGCAGCATGGTGGGTACCAAGTCTTTCAGTTGCTCCTTCAAGTCAGGCAGGGTTTTCAGCCACATGCCAAGGTCAGTGTGTCCTCATGCCAACCGTACTGCTATTCTAATCACGTATCACGTTGACAGGGCTGTGACACCTGTGAGTCCCTGCCTGCCTGCCTGCCTGCCTGTCCTTGAGGAAAGGCTGAGTTCTAACTCTTTTCTAAGCTGCTGCCACAAGCCTGGCAGGGAGTGACAGATATGGTTCACTAGGCCTCAGGGACAGAGGGAGGTTATCAATCCCAGAACCATTTGCACGACAAGGAGAAAGAACTCAAAATCGGCAGGTCACCAACATGTTTCTAAGAAACCAACTCCCTTCTGCCTCCTTTGCTGTTTAATCTTGAACCACTTCCAGGCTCCCAGGGACCCAAGGAGACTGATAGGATAACCAGTTTAATTAGTGGGTTCTAAAGAAATGGCAACTGGAGAACAGCAGACAGGCTCTTAAACAAAAACAGAGGACAATAAAATAGTACCAGGGTCATCTGTCAGCTTATAAACTCAAAGCATATTATGTAAATCCTTTTAATCCCACAGGAAAGAGTCAATTGTTAACATCATGCAACTTAGGTTACTGGGCTGGAGGGATGCCTGGGAGGTGGTGTCCACTCAGGTACAGTAACAGCCACCCCCAGGTCTGGGGAATTCAAGGCAGCCTTCAAAACCTCTGCCATTGGGCTATGGATATGGAAGGGCTCTAGTGATGGGATACTGCTGAGGCCTCACAGGCCACACCCGCTCCATCCCAGGTCAACCAGGGCCTCAGCACAACCCACCCACCTCTAAGGCTTCTGCAACTATCACTCTGGTGGGTGGACAGAGCCATGAATATTAGTTCGAGTGCAAAAGCGTTTCTAGGTTAGGGGGGTTCAAAAAAAAATTTTTTTTAATGGCCTGAGGCTATTTTGTGGGTAAAATGACATTATTACTGTGTTGTTAGCCACTTACAAGTTAATCTTTTGTGAATCTGGCAAAACAAAAAGCAACAGTAATCCAAAATTCCACGCTGTGAAGAATTAACTGTTTTCACCAGCAGGTGGCAAGCCTTTTTTTCAAATGGGAACCAGGAAGAAGGCACAGCACGAGCCACATAAAGCGACATTACCATCACTGCAGTGCGTAAAACTGCTCCGAGAAGCAGGAAGGGGAGGGAGAGACTGCTCACACTGAACAAAGCTTTATACCAGTGTCCTCATGCCGAGAGCCTTTCACACAGCTCCTCATGGTGTCGTGACCCCCAACCATCACATGATTGTCGTTGTTACTTCAGAACTGTCATTTTGCTACTGTTATGAATCGTAATGTAAATATCTGATATGCAGGGTGTATTTTCATTGTTACAAATTGAACATCATTAAAGCATAATGATTTATCACAAAAACTATGTAATTATATATTGTGAAATATTTATTTCTAACAGTCTTCATGCTGGGTATTCGTAGGTGGGCCTATCTGCATGTGGGCGGACCTGCCTGGAGATGGATAGAGGGGCGGCGTCTCAGTTCCTAAGACCATCAGAAATCTGTTTTCTGATGGGTCTTAGGCGACCACTGTGAAAGGGTCGTTTGAACCCCAAAATTGGTCGAGACCCACAGGTTGAGAGCCGCTGCTTTATACACAAAGGTTCTGGGACACTCCTGAATTCCTTGTTTGTTGTTTTTATTGTGTGGTGGGGAAACAAGTTCGAAATGAAACTTTAAATCAGATAGAGATTCCTCCTGCTTACAACTTTCTTACAATTTTTCCAATGGAAAAAATCCAGGCCAAGGGAAAAAACTTACTTCACACAGCCATTCTTTTCATTGCATTCTTTCTTCTCAGTCAATCTAGGTTTCTCGGTTGGCTTCTGACAGGAAACACTAGAAACCAAAACGTATTTATTAACATTTGTAAGCCTGTTTGCTTTGATCCTGAAAATCGTTTTATTAACCCACTAAGTACAAAAGTCATTTCTGACGCTACTCAGGGAACAAGGTAGACTCCACCCACAGTCGCGGATTATGATAAACCACTTTGCATACAATACGAAACGGGAAGGGAGCCATGGCACCTGAGAAACCACCAGGCCCACGGTGCATACAGAGTTTCTTTCATGACCTCCTGACATCGGCCGAGCTGCAGAGCAGCTGTGAGAGCAGGAGAGGTGCTTGCTGTCAGGCACCACTGGGGCCAGTTGGCTTACGGAGACCCCATGTGACAGAGCAGAGTGGCCTCACAGAGCTTTCTACGCTTCACTTTTTATGACGGGATCATCACCAAGCCTTCCTCCACGGAGCAACTTATTGGTTTAAACTGACACCCCAACAGGAATGACATGAGCAGGATGTAGTCTAGCGTTTAAAACGTAAGTGGAAATAAAATGTCTAACAAAAAGATAAAGTCCAGCAAGGGGAAATGGAGGTGTGCTATTTTAAATTCTTGTACGATACATGAACTGACATACTGTTACATCATCTCAGTGAGTGAATTCATTAATGCCAATGATGAATATCTGGATGAGGTTAGGGTTATAAACAAAGCCTTTGAAATTCACCTGCAGGCAAACAACAAACCAGACTTCGCTTTCCACAAACCTGTAACCAGTCAACTTGCTTGGCCATCTGGCCTGCCCTTAGCCACGCTTTCAACACAGGCACTTGCACCTTCTGGGGCCTGCCTTACAGAGATGACCCTGTCTGTCCAGTGGGGAAACAGGGGCATTCTGGAGCATGGCTGGCTCTCAGTCAACTGGGCTGCTAACCAGCCCAGTACTTTCTTCTACACTATTCTGTGTTTAGCCAATATGTCCCAGGCCATCCTTTCCTTCCTTTTTTGAAATGGCATTATTTTCTTGCCGTCAATCTTATGGAACACTGTATAAGAAACAAGAACATTCAAGTCTCAAGTCCAAAGGACCACACGTTTTTAAATCATACCCTGCTGTTGGAATCTCTGGATCAGCGTAAATGGTTAAACCTCTTTTGGCTGGCCAGTATGGAGATAAACCAACATACTGAAAAAAAGAACAATAATTACAGTAAGAATATAGACACTATTAAGATATGTATCCGTCAGGAACCAAAATTCCACGGGAATTGTTTTTATCAACCACCCTCAGAGACCACTTTCATGTACACACAGATACGGGGAGCCAAGATCGGAGAGCTGGATGATAACAACATGGCTTTAACCACTGGACTCAAGCAGCCACTCAGGACTCAAAACGGCTTGCAATGACTTTCACACGTCTGTGAAAAAGACTCACAGGGCAGGTTACCCTTGACTCTAGGAGCCCCAGGGCCCAGCCTTTGGCACCTTGTTAAAGTGAAAAGACAGACCCGTTTGGGGAAGGTCATACTTCTCCAAGAACAAAGCCGTGACTGCAGGTCAGCTGGAATGTGCTTGTTTTCCAAAAATCCAGTCAACATGCAAATTTTACATTTTCAAGATTTTTTTCTTTCCAAAAAACACATATTTTTCGTAGGACAGGGTAAGATATGACAGAATAATAATTTATAAATTATCAAGCGCTCATGAGGGAGGGGGGAACAGGAAGGGAGGGGAAAAAATGAGGACCTGATGCCAGGGGCTTAGGTGGAGAGCAAATGTTTTGAGAATGATGAGGACAATGAATGTACAAATGTGCTTGACACAATTGATGTATGTATGGATTGTGATAAGAGCTGTATGAGTCCCCAATAAAATGATTTAAAAAAACACATATTTTTGGTTCCTAGTAGATTCTCAAGGATACTCTATAAAATGATCATTTAAGAATTCTATGTTTAATGAACAATTTAAATATACAACCTTATCTCCACCTTTTAAAGAGATGCACTGCCATTTCTTTTCACCTTTCTCTTGAGGTAAATTTCTCAATGAATCTGCATTACACTTTGGAGCTTTCTCTGCAAATTAAAAATAGAGATGTAAGCTTTACCTTGAAAAGAGCCATTAATAAACAGGAAGTAGGTACTCTGCCTTTCTGCCTGCTTGGACTCGACCACTGACCCTGAGTTGTCAAAGCCCTGCCACATCCACGCTACCACATGCCTCGGCGCCCGCCGGCCTGTGATCTTCCTGCACTCTGTCTGCATCACGGCGCGTGGCTCTGTGAGTCTGAAGAGGAACTTACAGACGAGTATTAGACTGAAGAACTTGTGTTGAATTGGACTGGGACACTTTCTTGTTAACTACTTCTTGATATAAAGCCATTGCTTATGCATAAAAAATATATAGCAAAGCGAATAAAAGCAGGCTCTAATAAGAGGAGGTATACCATGGTGAAATCCTACTTCAGGAAATCATTAGAGACTATAGTTTGTTTGTTTTTAAATTATTTATTTTTGTTTCATTTTTAATCACTTTATTGGGGGCTCATACAACTTTTATCACAATCCATACATACATACATCAATTGTGTAAAGCACATTTGTATATTCATTGCCCTCATCATTCTCAAAACATTTGCTCTCCACTTAAGCCCCTAGCATCAGCTCCTCATTTTCCCCCTCCCTCTCCGCTCCCCCTTCCCTCATGAGCCCTTGATAATTTGTAAATTATTATTTTGTCATATCTTATACTGTCCGACATCTTTCATCACCCACTTCTCTGTTGTCCGTCCCCCAGTGAGGAGGTTCTATGTAGATCCCTGTAATCGGTTCCCCCTTTCCACCCCACCCTGCCTTCACCGAGAATACAGTTTTAATGCCAAAGTCTAAGTACGTTTGTTGGATGTCATCAAGTGGATTCCAACTCAAAGAGACCCTAGGCGACCATTAGTGACTGTACAGGACAGAGAAGAGCCGTTCCGGGGGTTTCCCAGGCTGCAGTGCGCAGTGCTTAAGCACTTGACTACTAAGAAGAGTGACAGCTCCAACCTCCAGCAGCTCTGCGGGAAGAAGGCAGGCAACCTGCCTCGGGAAGGCTTCTAGCTCTGGAAATGCCACGGGCATGTTTGTCCCTGCCGTAGCCCAAATTAAACACCAGTTCTCATTAAACTCAACTGTGACTCATAGCAGTCCTGCAGGACAGAGAAGAACGAAATACAATGACAACAATGGAATAACCATTTGTGGAAATTGTCATTTAAGAAATGAGCATGAAATTTAGAAAATTAATTTATTTCTAAATTAATGATTTAATTATTAGTTAACTAATTAAATTTATTAATTTGAGATTAATGAAAATGAAAACAGCATAACAAAACTTTAAAAAAATCATTTCTTGGAGGCTCATACAATTCTCATCACAATCCATACATACAACCATTGTGTCAAGCACATTTGTACATTGTTGCCATCATCATTCTCAAAACATTTTCTTTCTTCTTGAGTTCTTGGTATCAGCTCATTTTCCCCCTCCCTCCCTCCCTCCCTCATGAACCCTTGATAATTTATAAATTATTATTATTACTTCATGCCTTACACTATCCAATGTCTCCCTTCACCCACATTGCTGTTGTCTGTCTTCCAGGGAGGGGGTTATACGTAGATCATTGTGATCGGTTCCCCTTTTCTCCCACACCTTCCCCTTACCCTCCTGGTATTGCTACTCTCAATATTGGTCCTGAGGGGTTTATCTGTCCTGGAATCCCTGTGTTTCCAGCTGTGATCTGTACCAGTGTACATCCTCTGGTCTAGCCAGATTTGTAAGGTAGAATTGGGATCATGATAGTGGGGTAGGGGGGACATTGAAGAGATAGAGGAAAGTTGTATGTTTCATTGGTGCTATACTGCACCCTGACTGGTTCGTCTCCTCCCTTCAACCCTTATGTAAGGGGATGTTCAGTTGCCTACAGATGGGCTTTGGGTCTCCACTCTATACTCCCCCTCATTCACAATGATCTGATTTTTTTGTTCTTTGATGCCTGATTCTATCGACACCTTGTGATCACACAGGTTGGTGTGCTTCTTTCATGTGGGCTTTGTTACTTCTGAGCTAGATGGCTGCTTGTTTATCTTCAAGCTTTTAAGACCCCAGCTGCTCTATGTTTTGATAGCCGGGCACCATCAGCTTTCTTCACCACATTTGCTTATGCACCTGCTTTGTCTTCAGCGATCGTTGTCAGGAAGGTGAGCATCATGGAAACAGCATAACAAAACTTGAGGGATGCATCAAAAGCAATTCTGAGAGGAACACTTATTGCTATATAATCATATATTTAAAAGAAAGATCTCAATACAACAAGGGAGCAGACAGACTTTGGACCTCTACTTAAATTTTAGCTTAGTACAAGAACAGTTCTAATAATGTGGCACTGTATGATACCCACCTTCCCAACTTGATCACTGAAGACAAAATGGGTGCATAAGCAAATGTGAAGAAAGCTGATGGTGCCTGACTACTAAAAGACATAGTGTCTGGGGTCTTAAAAGCTTGGAAGATAAACAAGCGGCCATCTAGCAGGGAAGCAACAAAACCCACATGGAAGAAGCACACCAGCCTGTGTGATCATGAAGTGTCAATGGGGATAGGTATCAGAAGTTCAAAAACAAGCAATCAAATTGACACATAGAAGGGTGGACAAAGTGGAGACCCAAAACCCAATTGGACAGTCCCTCACAGAAGGGCCATATGGAAGGGATGATAATCTATTACTATTATGGTGTTTGTTTTACCTCATCAATCTTGTTAGACCTGCATATGCTCATTTGTATAATTAAGATCATTCAATGCATGAAAACCAAGATAGGTAACCCTTCAGAAACAGTAACAGCAGTAATGATTCCCTGAGGGTAACGGTAAGATGGGGGGGGGGGCACTAACAGCAATGATGACTGTATAACCCCATTTGAGAGAAACAAATAACAAAATTACAGGTGAATGGATACACTAGATAGTATGAGATATAGCACAATAATAATAATATATATAATATAGTAATAAGGGTTCTTGGGGGTAGGGTGGGAGAGGGAGAGGATAAAGGGGAGCTGAAGCAGAAAGAAGATGTGTTGAAACTGTACTGTTATACTTGATCTGACTGAATTACGGATTGTTATCTCAGAAAGAGCTCCCAATAAAATGATTAATAAAAAAATGAATGAAGAGAAAGATCTCAATTTGAGAACATAACTCTATATGATAAGGAAATAGAAAAATAAGGATCCAAAGTTAAACCCAAAGCTAGAAGAAAGAAAATAAATAAATATTAGAATGGAAAAATGAAATGTTGAATAGAAAAAAACACTAGAGAAAATGCACAGCGCAAGTAGTTAGTTGGTTTTTTTATCCAGACTGACAAAGGGAAATGAGAAAAGAATCAAATTACTAAAATCAGAATAAAATAAATGGAGATATTACTACTGATTTTACATTATTTTTTAAAAATTCTAAGAATATTATGAACAATTGTATCCAACTAAATGGAAAAACCTAGATGAAAATTGACAAATTTTTAGAAACTTGCACCAACTCAAGAATAGGACTGGTGAATAGATCTATTACACAGTAATGTGACACCATTAGTAATCAAAAACTCCCAACAGGCGAAAGCTAGTAAGAGAGGGATGGGAGAAAAAGGGGGTTGGGAGTGTTGGAGTGGGCAGGGAAAGCTATTGAGAAGTTTGATGAGTGATAAGTGGTTGAATGCACAAATGATGATGTGGTATATAAAACCCCATCTCATTCACAATAAATAATTTTGGGGAAAAACAAAAAATTCCCAACACAAACAAATGGTCTCACCATATGCCTTCACTGGCAAATTCTACAAAACATTTCTAGAATGCAATTTGAAGACTAGAGAGCACGCCTTAACTCCTTTAATTCTTTCTAAGGTCAGTATTATTCGAATACCAAAGCCAGTCAGAAACACTACAAAAACAACATTAAACACATATCCGTACATAAAAAAATGTTCAATCTTTGTAGATATCACATTTATCTTCTTGAACTACCCTGTGAAAACTTCTGATCAGTTCTGTAAGTTCATTATTCTATGCCAGCCACTTTAACCAGTCTGCATGTAAAACCAAGTTTTAGGGTCTCTTCTTATGCACACATTGGTCTCTCCCCCCATTCCTGTTTTTTAATGCACTTCACTTTCTTCAAGTATGATGTCCTCGATGTTGTCCCACAGCCTACTGGTCTTCAGCATTTGTATAAAGCACCTCAAAGTTATTCCTGAGATGGTCTTAAAACTCAGGGAAGATGTTTCCCAGGTCATAGTTTGGTCCTCCTAAATTTGCTTTGATTTGTCTTGAGCTTATGTATTACCAACTCATGGTCTGTTCCATTGTAGGTGCTTGGCTTTGTCTTGAATGATAATCACTGTTTCTATCAGTTCTTTCCAGGGAGGTAGTTGATTTGGTTCTTGTGTTATCTAGCTGACAAGATCCACAGTGAACAGTTGTCGAGAGGGAGGGGGGGTAATGCTTTCCAAAGAATGTGCCATTGGTCTTGCAAGAAGATGCCAGATATCGTGTTACAGAATGGTGCAAGACCAACAAGGTTGCCTATGGGAACACCTACTAATATAAATAAATGAGCAAATAAAAAAGGTGAAATGAGAAGAACATATACCCTCCTATGATATTCCTGCCAAAATGACACATAACCTGATCTCATCATGAGAAATCATCAAACCAACCTAATGGACAGACATTCTATAAAAGAGGTTCCAAGGTCATAAAAGTCAAGTAGAGACTGGGAATTGCTCCAGACTGAAGAAAAACTAGAGGTTGGACAGTTAAAGGTAACACATGATGCTAAACTTGAAAGGTGTCTAAAGGTTAGAGGGTTGCAATGCATCAATGTTATCTTTCTGCCTTTTGGTGCCCGTCTTGTGGATGGGTCAGCAACTTATTCTCAAATGTTCAGAAAAGGTTACAGGAGACCCAACTAGAGAAAAATGCAATAGAATTAAGAAGATTGAATACAAGGCAAATACCAAACGAAGAACCAATGTTTTTATGCAAAACTCCAGATGAGTGGAGCTTAAACATGAAGATTTAAACAGACTTGACCTGTGCAAGATTTATCAATACCTTTAGAAACCTAAAGCTGAAAAATAACTAAAGGTAAATGTGGTAGTTACACAATTTTTTAGACAATTTGTAGATCTATAAAAGTGAGGGGTGGGGTTTAGCTTACAATCAGGTCACAGCCAGATGGTGACTCCTTGTGGGCATAGCCCTCTCATAAGGAGGGCCCTGGGAACCTCCTTCTCTCTTTCCCCCTTCACGTTCTTGCTGGCGGACCCTGGTTGCTGCTAATGCCAGACGCATCCACCACCAATGGATCCACAAGACTTGCACTCACCAGCCTGTGATATTCCTGCATTTTGCATCATTGCATGAGGCTGCATTAGTCTGAAGAGGGACTTGTGTACTAGTATTGGACTTATAACTTCAATTGCACTGGGTTTGGATGTTTCCTCGATATACAATTATCATATATACTCTAGTATAAACTGACGCCAATATCTGCCAAGGCACCTAATTTTACCACAAAAATTGCATTAAAAAATGTGGTGAAAAACTCGGCTTATACTCGAGTATATACGGTACTTCTTGATATAAAGCTCTCTCTAATACACAGTAAAAAGAAAACTGAATGTTGGAAGAAACACTTAAAAATCGTGTCCACAGTCCACGATGCTAAGGGCATCTGCAAATAATTATCATTTTGAGTGTCTAAAGCTCAAAACACACAAAGCCTTGGTTAATCTTTTTACACTACCGACTTCTGAGAATGCAATAGGAAATTCTAAAGTGTTTCTTGGTCTCATAAAAACAACTATCACATTGCTGTCCACGTCAATATCAAGCACAGAACTAAAGTTTCTGTTTCTATATGGAGATTGCATACAACAATCTGTACCAGTACACCAAGATGCCCATAAGTAAGACAGTTTGAAAGAAAATTACTCCACTCACTTTTTATCCATTGAGAATCTTTTCCTTGCAAGAACATAGGCCAAAGACTAAGTGCAGGATTGAGTTTATTGGAGAAGGATGCTGACTTTATATTATTCACTGTTGACTTCTCTAGAGAATCAAGGATTTTATTCTCCTTCGGTGACACATAACAAGCGAAGTTTTTTGCAACCAGTTCATCATTAACACAAACCTGGAAAAAAATATGCCACGAATAGTCAGACAACTTACCAATAATTTTCCGTGAAATAGTCCAAACTAAAGTCCAAATCTCAACATTTAGAACAATGATCAGCTAGAACAGAATTTGAAAGAAGAAGGTCAGCGTATCCCTGCTCTGGTCCTGGTACTCCAGATCATTCTAACCAGACGTTCTGTTGGGAATAAAACTTGCATGAAATGTAAGAAACACCTCAAAGGCACTAACAAGAACCTGTCTTGCAAAGACGTGATAGTAAGACAAGGGTGAAACACGAACCATAAAAGAAAAATTGATAAAACATATTTAATCAGAATAGAAAATGTTTGTCCTTTAAGACACTGTAAAGAGAAGGTAAAGGCAATGTACAAATAAGGAGGAAATATCTGTTAACGTCATGAATCTGATAACTCTCATGCATCCAGAATGAAGAATTCATTAGGACAAAAACAAACTGCCCAATTAAAAAATGAACAGAAGACACATCAAAGAAGAAACAGACTGCAAACAAGCACAGGAAAAGGCATTCGCACCACTGGTCATTAGGGAAATGCAAGTCATAACCATACCTAATGGAATGGCTAATGTGAAAAGTAACGGCTGCTGTAATGTTGTTGACCTGAACACAACAACTAGCCAATTTGGAAACAACTGGAAGCTGTTTAATGGAGTCTCTCATAGGACAGGGTAGCCCTGCCCTTGTGAGTTTCAGAGACAGTAACTGCAGAAGCAGAAAGCCCGTTCTCCCTTGGAGTGGCTGATGGTTTGGACTGCAAACCACCAGGGTTCCTACGACATATTAATACATAATCCAACAGTTTCACTTCTCATTATTTACTCTTGAGAAAAATGAGAGCAAATGCCCATGAACTGTACATAGTATGTTCTTACAATGGAAAAACATTTAATAAAAGGAATAAATCATTGATTCAAGCAACCACATAAAGATACCTTAAAATAATTCTGCTGAGTCAAAGAAGTCAAACTGCTAATCAAGTGTATTGTATCACAGCCCAATGCATGACCACTAAACCACTAGGGCCCCTGGCAATCTTTCAAGAGTGAAGGCAAATGTACACACACTGAAGGGCAAGTAGGAGTTACCTGTAAGTCAGGCATTTATAATCAGGTACAGCCTATATAACAAATGAATCTTTCTCCAAATGAGTAACAACCACATTATGGAGAACAGAAGCACTAAAGAAATGATAGGAAACGACATTTCAGGTGCAAGCAATTAAGCTGAAGACAAATTTGTTTTTCACAAGAATGTGTGTGAGCAATCCTGCAATCGCTTTATGTGAACACGAGGACTAACCAGTGGTTCACAAGTGCAGGCTTCTCTCTGCTGGAGAAAAGCATTAGGAGTTGAGGGGAAGGCAAAGTTAAAATTCTGTGGTGTCGGATGAAAATCAGAGGCAACATGGCTTTTAGTTCATGTATAAAAGAATTTATATACAAACATGTGGACGCATAGCATGGCTCAACACACACACACCAAGACTAATGAAAAAGTATTGCTACTCAGTCTCCGGTTCACACACATATGGTTTACTTCAAACAAAACGTTCACACTTATCTCTGTGACCAAGGAATGGGTGGCTACAGTCAATGTCCCTCAGAAATACGCCTGTCTTCGTCTCCTTAGGGTGCCCGCAGAGAAAAGGTCCAACCAGCAGGAATTATCAATGTGCCTTGATGATGGTCCATCAGCTTCGGACTGCAGAAGTTGGTACAAAGTATCGATTTCTTCATTTTTCACTTTTCTGGTTAGTGCATACATTTGAGTAATAGTTCCTTAGCTGGTCTTCCTGGTAGTCATAGGGATATTATCCCATCACTGACAACACTGTCCTTCAGGATAGATGTGGACATATTTGTTTTGACAACGAATGAGGCCATTCCTCTTCAGTTCATCATTCCTTGAATAGTAGGCCATGTGACGGTGCCATTCAAAGTAGCCATTACCAGCCCAGGTCAGCTCACCAGTGCCTACGACATCTATCTGTATGCATTCCAGTTAATCTCTGATGACTTCCATTTCCCTAGTCGTACTTCATACACCCCCATGGACACCTGCAGCTATTTCTTCTCCCAGTATGAGTTGTGTCCCATCAGCAAATGAAGGTCCCTCCTCCACATGGCATTAAAGTCGGCTCTCTGAGGAGACAGCTCTTTCGCTTTTGTATCTGAGTGCCTTCCAAGATGAAGGGTTCATCTTCCGGCATTACACAGGACAATGCTTGACCTTAATAATGCTCTCTGGTAGCACGACTACTCACATCGCTAGGCTATGGTCAGAAGGGACTCACCGGAAACTTAATCCACATGGGGACCCTGCAAATGGATTGTGGTCTTCCTTTGTCATCCAGAGTCTTCTGCAAACAGGGTGTTCACAAGTTAAGATCTGATACCATTCCCTCCTTCGAAATTGAATTTTATTCTTTACAATTCCTGTATCACACAGGCTGGTGTGGTTTTTCCAAGGGTCCTGAGCTGATGACTGCTTGTTTAAAAAGAAGCCTCTAAGACCCCAGATGCTATTTCTTCCGATTACTCGGCACCATCCAGTTTTTTCACCACATTTTGCTACAGTGCCCAGTTCTCTGGTGATCTCTTCATGAGGGTGAGTATCGAGTAGGGGCATGTCATAAGAACAAACTGTTCTTATATTGGGACTAGAATCCCGCGCCTCAAAATCCACTTACACATCTATTGCTTATATATGTCTCTGGTTCACTTCAGAGACATCATAACCATTTTATGATAGAAAAGCTTATAAATCATCCCCCTGAGGCATAAGGTAATTCTAATGATAGTGTCATTAATTTAGCCAATGGTCTAGAATTTAAACCACTGTTGAGAAAAGGAAATTACACGTCTATAAATTGGCTCTTCAGACTGCAATACATGAATTGTTAATTTATACAGATTACTCTTAAGTGACTGGACACCATTTACATGAACAGTGGGGATTTGGTGATAGAGGAAAACTTCCAATGGCAATCATTCACCAAGGCAGAACCAGGCCGACAAAATAAAAATGTGTCATAAGAAAGCAGAGCATTAGATAGTAAATATATGATAGTCCGGGGCCGGCCACCATTCAGTAGGTACCCTTCAAAGCAGGAGAGCTGAACCAAAGCCCAACACCCATCAATTCCATAATCTTGGGATAACAGTCATATGTTTCCTTTTTCCTCCCTTTTGTAACCAGCATTTTATTGGTTGTTTTGAGATCAGTATAAGAGATATAATGAACAATTTGAACACAATTCTTCTTCTTTTTTGTTTGCAAATCACTATCTCATTTTCCCCCTTCTTTTTATTTATTAAAAGATCACTTTATTGGGGACTCTTACAGCTCTTACAACAATCCATACACTAATTGTATCAAGCATATTTATACATATGTTGCCATCATTATTTTCTAGACATTTACTTTCTATTGATCTCTTAGTATCAGCTCCTCTCCCCCCTCCTCACTGTACACAATTCTTAAATGCATGTAGCAAAATCCTAAAATGGCCTGTTGACACAATTCATTTCTAAATTCTAGTGACTTTCCAGTTTTAAATTTGGAGGAAATTTTTTAAGAGGTTATCAAGTACCATTATCTTCAAATGTTGATAAGCTTTTATATATTTTTTAAGCTTTTATATCTTAAGTCCCACTAATTCACAATTTAATGGCACACACACTACACAATCTAATATTCAACCCTTCATAGCACATAACAAAGTTATTAGGAAAAAGAGACTACAACTGTTGGGGTGTCAAAACAGGGACTTAAAAGGGGGTATCTCCTCAATGCCTGCACCGGGCCACAACAGACGGGCTGGAAAGAAATCAGGCACACTACTTAGACACCTGGGGAGATCCACACTGAGCATGCACAGAGTAGGACCATCTAAGCGCAGGTGAAACCAAGGTTGGCCACAACCAAGTCTGTCTGCCTGTCTGTCTTTCTCTCTCTCCAGGGTGCTCTGCAGGTGGAGGGCGAGAGACTCTCCATGTGTGGGCGGGCATGCAGGCCTGCACACTCTCCTGGCCCCTAGGATTTCCTGGTTCCCCAAGTGTGGTTTTGTGCTGCTGTTCCTGTAGTCTCTCCCTGTGGCTTTTCTCGGGAACCGTTCCCACGCAGCCTTATAGGCTTTCCTGAAACAGCGTGTACTTTTTGAGACTGTAATACCTGAAAATTCTGTTTTTCTCACAAAAAGTTGCTTGGATTGTAAACATGCTTCTACCATGTGAATTCTTTCAGCGCCATGAAGCAAGAACCGAGGTACCCCAATCTAGGATCCCAACGCAACGGCCCAAGGGGTTACTGCATGCACACAGCTCTGACAAGAAAGCTATGAGGAAGGATGGTTTCAGACACAATTCCATTAAAACACAAACCAAGGAACTAATCTTTAAATGTTCAAGTCATACAATGCATGACAGTGAGGCCGAAGTGCCACAAAGTATGTTTTGTAGAACTAGGGAATACAAAAACGACCCCCACCCTATCCCATGGAATATTATGTTGACACCCAAGGCAGTCTAATCTTCCCGTAAATTCAGCATCCCACTGTTTTCTGGTTATACCGAAAAATAAACAACCAGTAAATTATTTCATGCCTTAAAAAACAATGCAAGGAAGTGAATTTCTTCCTCCTTAAAAATGTTTCTAACGCTACTATCAAACTTGCATTTTCAAAATAGCTGGTCTAAATATTCCTCTGGATTGTCCAAGAAGGAAGCTAACAGGATAGCAAAACATTAATCAGACTTGGTTTCTTTTTCTCCTGCTTCATCAGAGGCTCCACTCTCCTCATTTGTTTCTCCGCTTGGGGCAGGCGAGTCTTCAGTGTCTCGGTCAGCTCCTGCAGCCTGTCCGGTGCTCGCACTGTCCTGTCCAGAGCGTTATCCGTTCCTGGTGCCTTCTTGGGCTTCCTCTCCACTTTTGCAGGCACAGGTTTCGCTGACAATCTCCTGTTGGGCATCTCCTT